ATTGTAACTTGGAGACGAAAGGAGACTCGGAGGAAAGAAAGAGGTAAAACAGAGAGCCCGACGTCCGTCTCGGATTTCCTCCGTGAAGAATCGACCGGAAAAAGCGGCGCGTTAGTCGCGCCTTGTTCTTCAGACACGTGTCACGAAATCGCGAAAGAAACGTTTCCGCGCTGCCGGCGGAAAGACAGTGACACGTACGTCTCCTCGCGCTCGCACCTTCGTCGCGAGAGGAGACGTGAAGGGATATACGTCGCGTCGTGAATCTCAGTCGAACTTCGCGCGAGACGGAACCGACAAATCTGTGTGGGAAATCTCGCCGGCGGAACGATTCTGCGCGAGATCGCGCGGAAGAGAGTTCCGGATTCTAATTCGCAGTTCTCGCTAATTCTCGCTAATTCGACTTGCGAGGTCGACTTGCGCGCGACGGAAGGAAAAAAAACGTAACTCCGCGCTTCCCAATCAAATTCGCCCACGCTCGTCGTATACCACTTGTAAATTACTCCGTTACGTCCGTAAGGTATCACGACACGCAAGCGCGTCGCGTGAATTATCATATCACTCCATCTGTCGGCTTTTTTTCTTTTTTTTTCCTCTCTTCTTTCCGATCCGACCCGTATAGGCGTGGTGCGGACGATCCACGTCGAAGATCACGAGAGGGACAAAAGTCGGAGTCGCGGATGAATCGGCCGACGAGCCCGTCGACGCTCGAGGGCTTCCTCCTCTTTCCCTCTCCTTTATCCGCCCTCTCGTCCGTCCCTACGTGTATTTTCATAAATATAATAATTTATTTCTATCTCTTCGCGAAACCGAGCATGGCTAGACTCCTTCCTCATCGTTGTCGTCGTCGTCATCGTCGTCGTCGTCGGGGATAGGTGGGTCGATCGGTGTAAGCGTCGTCGGAAGGTAAGGTAAGGGTGCGGCCAGACTCCGCTCTCGACTCCACCTCATTACCCGGCATTCTATGCAGAGACCGCGCTTATGGCTTATTATTGCTTTAGCTTAGCCAACCCGTCGGTTCCTTCGTCCTTCTCGCAGAGACGGATACATATGTACGCGCCGACCGTATGTATATGGATACAATGTATACAAGGCGTAATGCGAGATACAGGGTGACGCACGTGAAACGCGACGATTCGAAATCCCATCGAAATCAGGAATTTTAGGGGAGAACGTTTCTGAAAGGAATCGCGAGTTCCTTTCTTCCTTCTTTCTCTCTGCGAGATGTCTTATCGCGCCCGTTACAGTATTATTATCATTATTACGGAGAGAATTTTCTTTTAAAATTTACCCTGAAAATCATATTAATCATGGGACAACATAGCATTTTGACAAATTTTACTGTGCACTACAATAAATTTGTTGTAGTATATACAGGGACCGGTACTCAATGGTAAAGTACTCGTGGGCAGATAGAGTAGGCTAAACTGAATCGAAAAGTTCTCTACCATTTTGCGGTCTTCGCAATAATTATCGAGATACTAATCATTTAAAATAAAATAAAAAGAATTTACGCCAAGTATATAAAAAAGTATCGTACATAAATCTTTCCTAAACCATTGGTCATTTTAGTCACTTTAAGCCTGTTTTATGAAACTTAAAATTATTTGGAAAGACAATGGCATTAAACTTTTGCTGCATATACTTTTGGATGATTTAAACGGTTTATTAAAAAAATATTTTTGGTTTGGAATAAAATATTTTTGTCTCTATGTCTAATCAAATACTTGGCAACTTGTATGATCTCATATTTGTATTTGGACAACTTTTATTTGTTAAAATAAAACTTAAAATTAAAACAGGCTAATTTGTTAAAATAATATTTTTGGTTTAGAAAAGATGTTAATGTAAGATGATAATTTTTTATATACTGGGCGTAAATTTTTTTAATGATTAATATCTCTATAACTATTGCAAAGATCGCAAAATAAGGAGATCTTTTCGATTCAGTATAGCCCACTCTATCTGCCCACGAGCGCTTTACCATTGAGTACCGGACATCCTGTATATTAAAAAAAAATAGTGAAAATCATATAAAATTCGTCGAAATACTATGTTGTCCTATACGATTAACATATGATTTTTAGGGTAAATTTTAAAATAAAATTCTCTCCATGTATTTTGTACATTCACATGCGTGCTCGTAGCTACGAGTACAGTTTTCGATCACAGGGTACGCGTTGTCCGTCCGTTTATTCGTTCGTCCGTCCGACGATCCCCCCTCGCCCGGCCTCATTTTATATGTATGCGCAATTATTGGTCCCGATCTTGTCTCGCGGTTCGTTATGTTGCTTCGCCTACTACGGCTAGCAGAGAAGGCTCTTCCCCTCCGCTTACGTCCTCTGCGTAATGCCCTCGCACCGAGACTTTTGTCGGTATACATACACAGATCGATCGGCGAGGAGCGAGCGTGCATAAAGAGGTTTCGCTCGGAGAGATTTAACAACGGGTGCACAACATCGCCGCCGACCTGGTCGGCGGATATCTATAAGAGAAGTGTATACAACCACGATTACGCGCGACTTTTTAACAAAATACCTCGCGGTGCTTCTCGCAACGTAACGCGCGGACGAGAGAGGCGCGTACCTGCGCTAAACCGATTTGCGCGATCGAGTCGATCGCCGAACAACTTTACTAGTCGATGATTGCCAGATTGATGATGATGGTGGCGGTTTAAATGCGCTCGATCGAAACGAGTTTACTAATGCGCGCGTGTGCACGGACGGTATAGAGAAACAAATGAGTTTCGTGATCGTACAAGAGGCCGATCTTGTCTCGGATTAATCGAGCATCGCCGTAGAAAAACGAACAAGCTTCTCCGCGGGTTGAGTCCGGGCATATAGAGGAGAGAGAGAAAGAGAGAGAAAGAGAAGAGAACGGAGGAAATGGCACAACAAGGATGAACACGTTTAATTGAAGGCAACGGAGTTCAGCTTCATTATCAAATTGAATTAAAGAATGAAAAAAGAAAATCTTCCCTGTGTGTAAATTCATCCTGAGCGTGGGACAAAAACGAGATAAACGATTCGATATAACGATAACCATTCGCGCGTAAGTTTTTATATGTTCGTAGCACGGTTCTCGTGAAAAAATTTACAATGAAAATTACAACGTTGATTTTTCGCAAAGCGGCTCCATTTTGAAGTAATATCGTTCGCGATGGCCGATAATAAATTTATGTGTATTTTTTTATTTAAAAAAAAATCGATTGTCAATTTGTGTAATTACATACGAATATTACATGTTTAGTATCATCTTATTCCAGCTTTAATAAAAGGAGATATATATATTTACGTGATCTACACTATACGCAGGGCTGGGCACATTTCAAATACTTATATTTGAAATACAGTATTTGAAATACAATTTGTATTTTGTATTTTGTATTTCAGCGGAACACATAAAAGTATTTTGTATTTTGTATTTCAAATAAATTATTCAATGTATTTTGTATTTCAAATACAATTTCAATCTATTTTGTATTTGAAATACTAAAAAAATTATTGATAAAAATTCTTGATAACCATTAAGAGTAACTTAAATTTTTCTCATATGACACTAATTATTTTCATCAAGTTTCAAGCAATATCAAGTCATCAGAGTCAAATTTCATAATCTCACATTAGTAAATAGATTTCTCGTGTGATTGATACAGGACTGTTAAAAAATGTAAGAGAGTAAAACAATTTTTCTTTCTCTCTCTCTAAAAGTGGAGAGGGGCCTGTTAAAGCGGGGAGTTTAATATTATATATTATTGTAATTGAAAGATTAAATTAAAAAGTATTTTGTATTTCAAAGAAGTATTTTGTATTTCAAATACAAACTTAAAAGTATTTTGTATTTTGTATTTCAAATCGAAAGATTGAAAGTATTTTGTATTTTGTATTTCAAATCAAAAGATTGAAAGTATTTTATATTTTGTAATTCAAATACTAAGATTTCTAGTATTTTGTATTTTGTATTTTAGATACTTTAATGGTGTATTTTGCCCAGCCCTGAATACACATATTTCCTCAAAAAGGAAAATCTAAACTCTCATTATTTAGCATCATTGATGATTTCTACATGTTTTAATAAAAGTAAATTATTGTAAATTATTCAAATATGTAGATATTGTTAATGATCTAAAATTTTTGGACTTGTTCAACGTAATTCTAATACAACTTTTCAAAGACTCCGCAATCAAAGTTAATTTACGTAGAATTTGAAGTATGAAATAACTTCATAAACATTTATTTGTTTTGTTTTTCAAGTAGTATATTTATGTGGAAAAGAAATACAGTCGAACCTCGATAACTCGAATCTTAAAGGATCAGCTATACAAATCTTCAAGTTATAAAAGTTTCGCCTTATCGAATAAAAAATCTATAAAACTTATTCGAGTAAAAAAAGAGTTAACATATGAAAATTAC